ACAGGAGGTTTTCCCCGTGGACCGACCCGTGACGAGATCCTATTCCCGGGCCCGCAACATAGTACATCACATCAATGAGATCAGGTAGATTGTTCTGCATATCTAATATCTCTTCTGTCAACCTAACGTTATATGAATTTTTTCTTGGGCACAAAAAAAAAAAAGCAAACAATTTCCAAATGTGGACACTCTCAGACTTGAACCCACATTCTCACCTCTGTCAACCTGAGAATTTACCAATACACCATCATCACCACCCTAAGGAAAATTTATGATCAAATATGCACAAGGCGAATAACCAACTTAAATTCCCACAAAAATGGATTCCTACTTCTTAGGGAACAGAACACTTACATGCTTTTTCAAAAGAACAGGTAGTACACGGGTTTGATAGCATCTTTCTGTGCACTTCCTTGGAACACGCATAGTGTAGGGCGCAACAATTTTCCCTCCCTTTATTGGGAGTTGTTTAATGATTTTAATATCTTTTGAGAGAAAGGATATAAACCAATCAACATCAAAAATCTCAGTGAAATTGCTGCAGACAGCATCATATAGTTCAGTATTTGCACCAAAATGATCAGATAACTACAAAATGTGGCAAGGTCCAATTCACCAAAACAAACCTAGCATCCTTCCAGAAGGAATTTGAATCCAGCTTTGGAACAATAAGAGTAGCATTCAAAATTCGGGCTGCAACAACAGCATCTGTTATCTGCAAATATAACAGGTGTAACAAGTTCCTCAGCAATATGACAATAGAAGAGAAGTTCATGTACCTAGTCATAACATTCTGATCAAAGAATCAATTCAAAACTACATTATCATATAAAATTATAAATAATCAATATAGTTATAGGGTTCAAGCAATCACCAGGTAGGAATGGCAATACAGTGGTTAGAATTATAGATGGCATTCCCGGACGTTTTTTTTTTGATAAATGATTGAATTTTATTCAATAAAATCAATAAGACATTACAATTCAGCCTTCCCAAAGGAGGGACACGAGCTGGTACCTCTCCACAATAGCAACAATGTACTACCTCAGACTAGTAACAAAAAGTTTACAAAGCTGCCCAGAAAAACTGTTCCCTTGATACCCCTTGTTTAGCTAACCCATCCGCTATGGTGTTAGCTGTTCTACCCACCCACTGAAAAATAACATTCATGTTCCTTGAGAACCATTTAGCTTTCCTCATAATACCCCTGTAGCACCAGATCACCGAATCTGGATTTTTTAGCCAACCCACAACAACTTTGGAGTCTCCTTCAATAATCAAATTTTGAACTCCTAATTGATCCGCAACCTGAATGCCTTGTACTGCCGCTAGGAGCTCAGCTCTGATAAGAGTCTCCTATACCCACAGAACCTGAGAACAAAGCTAATATGTTACTATCTTTATCTCTCAGCACCCCATCAATCCCTGAAGGCCCCGGGTTTCCTTGACTGCTACCATCAAAATTCAGCTTTGTCCAGTCTTCTGAAGGGGGTACCCATACAGTTGGTACCCTGTTCTTTTTGTTACTGCTACTAGCCACAGCCCTCCAATTCCTCCACATGTCATCAAAAGAATATAATTTGAAGGAATCTGATGGTCTCAGCCAGTGGATTGCCCTGGTCAAAATACAATCCTTCACATTCTGTGCATTTCTCTCCTTTTCTTGGAATATCCTCGCATTTCTTTCTTCCCAAATTGTCCACAGAGCAGCAGCTCTAATGCTCCTCCACATTGTTTTACCAATTTTTGTGGGCCACACAAAGAAGGAAGAATCAAAGATCTGATCTATGGCTGTGGTCATATTCCATCTGCAACCGAACAAAGCAAAGACCCAACCCCAAATAGCAGCAGAAAAAGGACAGGTTAAAAGTAAGTGAGAGCAATCCTCACCATTAGCCCTGCAAAATACACACCAATTAGGAGACAAACACATAGAAGGCCTTCTTTTCTGCAGTAAGTCTGAGGTGTTGATTTTCCTATAGAAAACCTCCCAGCAGAACATAATGATTTTAGGAAGTACAGGTTTAGACCAAATCTCCTTAGCTGGGAAGCCCACTTGTCCCGAGGGAGAGCAAAGGGACTTAAAAAATGAAGCACATGTGAAGTAACCTTTTGGGTTTGGAGACCAAAGTCTCACATCAGAACTGGAAAGGTCCAGAAAAACACTATGAAGCAGTGACAACAGGTCTGAAACATGAGAGAGTTCATGATCCCTCAAACCCCTACGAAATCCAAAGTCCCAACTCAAGGAAGATGGAGAATTAGATGTTGGAAGAAAATGAGAAATTGTTTTACCCTTGTAGCAAGAAATGGAATAGAGAGAAGGGAAACTGTCCTTAAGGGCAGAATTGCCCACCCATATGTCTTCCTAGAACAAAACAGAAGTACCAGAATTGACATCATACCTGATACAGTTGAGGAAAAGAGGAAGAATATTCTGAATTGCTTTCCAAGGAGTTGCCAGAGTGGGCTCGACGCGATACACCAACATCCCATCCATTGCCCAAACTGCCATGTATGCTAGCTATCACCTCATGCCAAAGTCTCTCCTGTTCTAGGGGCCATTCTCCACAACCACTTTCCTAGGAGTGCTTTATTCTTCAAAGCTAAATTCCCCAGTCCCAATCCACCTTCCTCTTTCCTCCTACACATTAATCCCCAATTTATTAAGTGATCCTTTTTTTCCTCCCCTAGCTCCCAAAGAAAATTTCTCATTAATTTCTCTAGGATGGCATTCCCGGATGTTATAGCAAGATTTTCAAATGAAAATGCTATAGTTATATAATCTAAGGTGATTTAGATCTATAAAATGAAAATTACACATTGGGCTTTTTTTCTCATTAAGGTTTTAGGAAATAATAATTCAAAGGCATAAAACTCCACAACAAGAAAAGGCTTATGATATTGGGACTTTATATTACCGAGCATGGTAGACATGTCAAGCGACAAAAAAAAAATCTAAAAGATGAAAAAGAAAAAACTGTATCATATTGATTAAGTAGAAGGGAGCCTACCCCTGTTCTTTGTTGATTTAAGCCCCCACTGGTCGCAATCATCAAATATCGATTTGGTTGTGTGATAACTTCGGCTTCTGTAACGTGAATAGTATCAAATAAATCAACTAAAATAATTGAGCATTCACAAAGTAGAAAATCTACAAGGAAGAAATAAATGAAGCTTGTACACTCTAACAACAAGCCATCTGTCATCCTTGCCAAATGAAGTAAACAAAACAGATTCAATTCCCTATAATAGAACCATAATGTAGCCAATTCAAGCTTCGAGTAAACTTCAATCGAATTCTCCAAGTGAACAATCATTAATCAATGTCCTATTCACGATCAAGCAGAAATTATAATCCACATAGTTCCTAAATGCTGTTAAGAGGCTTCGGGAATAAAAAAAAAATCAAAGTATAAGCATACAGACTCGGCATAACCGCAGAAACTGAAGGAAAAACTTATATAAAAAAATAAAGAAAAATAAATACGCACGCGCAAACTTATTGCTCGCATTGCTGCATCCATAGAAGAACTTTGACAGCTTCGAACCCCAAAGATCATGGCCTGTACTCCTTCCAACGATCTACGATTAAAAGAGAGAGAGAGAGACAATTTAAGCAAAACTAAAATGATATTAAATGGAAGAGCTCAAGCGAACGCAAAAATAGTTCAAGAAAGACGCAGCGAAGACAATGTCGGAAAACAAGACCCTAACTGGAACACGGAAAACTTCGTCAGTGATCACATTCCTTTTAACCTCGATGTCGTCGTTCAACTGAAAAAAAAAAAAAACGGGAAATTAAAAATTAAAAAAATTATGTAAGAGACGGAAAAAACAAGCTAAAAATGAGGAAAACGAAATTGGTGGAGTACCCAAGCGGGGCGGCGGAGGCGGTTGTCGCTCATAGGCGGAGGGGCGAGAAACGACAGAAGAGCGAGGAGAAAAAGAAGAGCGGCGAAAATGACGGACACAACCGGAATCAGAAAGCGGGGCTGCTGGTGCTGGGTCTGGCGACGCCGTTGGGAAGCCATGCTGTGGCAAGCTGAACGCCACCACGATTTCCCTCCGTCCCTCTCTCAGTCTCTCTCTCTCTCTCTGAGCACAAAATACTAGAGAGAGACGAGGAGAGAGCCCACCGTCCACCGCTCTGACATGTACCTCGATATTTCTGCGACGACAACAACGATTCGATATCGCATATCGGCTGCGCGCAGGAAAGCCCACAATAAGCGCCCTCGGAAAAAAAATATTTGTTCCTTTTCTTTCGAGTTTCGATTCGAGCCCCACTCTATTCACGTGTACCGCACGTGCTCGTCTACTCCACCAATCATCAAATCACCCACACTTCAATGATCATATATCTCCCCTCCACATGAGATTTTAAGGCCTTTTCGTCTTCAAAGAATAGCGAAAGGCAAAAGCTTCTTCTCCAAAGCCAGGTTGAAGGCCCTCCACCCTCGTCAATATCCTCACGACAAAACCTCCCCTCCATTCCAATGTTAGATAAACGATCAAATGAAATTATAATAATAACAATAATAAATGTCAATCTCCCAAGAAAGTCTACCATATATATAACATCATAACACCATCAGCATTTTATTTTCAAAATATGCTTATTGTAAACCACCTCTCTCGTCTGAGATTGGTTATGTCATTCATTACCCATCAGCAGTAGCCAATCATACAATATCGATGCATAGGTTTTTAACTTTTAATTAATTGCGGATAATCAATTGATTAGGATAAATATCAACATTATTACACGGATCAGATCACATTTGCGAGGTTTGTAGACATAAATTAGTTGCAAATATCAAGTCTTGATGGATGAAGTGATGATAGCTTTTCTTTAATAATCAACCGTCTGTTCCGCTAGAAGAAAAGTTGATCAAGGTTCTTCTTTCTACAGCCGGTATAATTAAAGCAAACACAGACAGAAGCTTGGTAAATAGCAAATCCAGCTATTATTATTATTATTTTTTTTTGTTTAGAAATGATTGCGGATCCTTTTTGTTGGGTAAATGGGGTTGCAATCAAGGAATGCTGTGAATATTGCTGGAGAAATTGGTTTTGCGAATCTCATTATATAATACTGTTAATTAATTGTTGGTATTTTTTATGGTAGAGTGGCCATAGGCCCTCTTTTAATCCTCAATATGTTGAAATATCCAATGGCCATGTGACAAGCCACATCAACGTTAACAGGAGATAATTATTTTATGGTTATTTCTATGCAACAACTTCACACACAATCATTCATTTATTCTTTAAATTATTATCTATTTATTTATTTTTTATCAAAAAAAAAATTATTTGATTATTTTCTGGAAAATGTTTTATACATAGAGATATATTGGATTATTATAGATCCTAGTGCCAGCTCTTATTGGGTCAATGGATATCCATTTGACCCAATGTAGACTTGATGACCAAGTGGTTAGATCCTTTGTCAACATGAGACACTTGTCTCAAATCTGATGGAGCATGGATTTTGATGTTGAAGAGCACTTATCTCAATTGGTTATTTTGATTCTTGTTTGTTCCTAAAAACCATAAACTTAACTTTGGAGAAGCAGGCTATATAAGGGGTCACTCCCAATTGTTTCCTACACATGAGATAAGAGAAAGGAAAAGATCCTCTTTGTTGCTCCAGCTCTAATCAAATTAAGCAGTTATCTCTTGCACTTTGTTTGAGAGATAGGTGTCTTGGATCCCATATTGTGTGGCAGCTGTTCTTTTCTCTTTATATGTAGGTTTGGAGCACCCAAGTATCAGCCGTTCATTTCTGCATGTTCAAGGTTCATCAAATTTTTTATTATTATTCAGTAATTTTTGGATATGAGTATTTTTGCAATAAAATACTACTAATAAAACAAGTTCTTTACTTTAAATTTTCATTAATTCTTATCATTTTTAATGAGTTCATTATGCATAATAAAGATCTCAACTCATAAAAATTATTAATTAATTAAAATCCATTAATACAAAGTTATCTAATAATATTATTAAAACTATCAACTAATATTTTTATATTTAAATTTCTTATTTTTAATTAATTATTGGTATTTTTTCATTATTACTCAGTAATTTTTGCAATAAAATACTATTAATAAAATGAGTTATTTATTTTAAATTTTCATTAATTTTTATCATTTTTAATGAGTTTATTATGCACAATAAAGGTCTCAACTCATAAGTTATCTAATAATATTATTAAAACTATCAATTAATATTTTTATATTTAAATTTCTTATTTTTATTAGTGTTTATTAATTTTGATATTTACTAAAGTCTCAATCCATTTTATTAACAGTATTTTATGCATTAGCATTAGCTCTATTTCATAGAGCTACTGAAAGTATATGCCATCCCATCGGGGAGGTTTAAGCAACTCTAAAATAACCAAGGGAAGTTTGGCAACTGAAAAGGAAATAAGTATCATTAATATATCAAATTATAATTATTGAATTCTAAATACAATAACTGAAATCTAAGACCTGTTATTTTTTTTACAGGTTTTACCTAGTGCCTTCTCAATGGAAAGGATGCCAATTGGCCAACCATCTAAATGCCAACAATTACCTAGCTTAAATCAAACCAATAAAGATCTCAATTCATAAGTTATCTAATAATATTATTAAAACTATCAATTAATATTTTTATACTTAAATTTCTTATTTTTATTGGCATTTATTAAGTTTGATATTTACTAAGGTGTTAACCCATTTTATTAACAGTATTTTATGCATTAGCATTAGGCCATTAGTCCCTATAAGGAAAAATAACCAAAACATAATAAAAATTATCCATCAATTATTTTAAAGAGGAAAAAAATGAAATCTTACCAAACCAAGAAAGAGCCTTAATGTGAAAACCATTTCAAGATAATAATTGTTCTCTAAAAAATAACCTGATATACAAATAAAAACAATTTGTAAATATAATTAAATTTCATAGAAATAATGGAAGTATATGCAATCCAACCGTGGAGGTTTAAGCAACTCTCAAATAACCAAGGGAAGTTTGGCAACTGAAAGGAAAATAAGTATCATCGATATATCAAATTCTAATTATTGAATTCTAAATACAATAACTGAAATCTAAGACCTGTTATTTTTTTACAGGTTTTATCTAGCTAGTGCCTTCTCAATGGAAAGGATGCCAATTGACCAACCATCTAAATGCCAATTAGAAGTAGAAAAGACATAACTTGGACCTCACCTTCAGGTTGAGAACAAAATCCATGCACTTGTTATAAGTTGGACTCTTAACTACTCTTAAATCCAACATTACTGTTCTAACTGCAAAACCAAAACCATGAAACTAAAAGCATAAAAACCATAATAAATAATAAAAGTTTAAATTAAAGTGAAATATTGTAACTTTCATTCTAAATCACCTTAGCAGCCTTCTTTGTAAGTACAAAAACCACTTAAACTTGCATCAATCCAACCATACTGTTCTCATCGATTGTCTTTCCCTCTGCTTATTAGTAAGTTGCATGTATGATTCCATACAGGAACTCACCATGGAGGAAGCCCACAAAGTTAATAAAGGTAATAAAAAGGGGAAAAAGTAACAATTAAAAAAGAACCCAAGTAGTTTGTATCTTGAAAAATCACATGAACTAGGTTCTTTATGAAAGTGGTGACATTGCTGAATTCGTTGTTATAATGAAACCACTAACATATGAAACATGCTACATTGATCGCTTTCTCCAATATGCAAATCAGCAACAAACCTACAATATTATGTGATCTAGATCTAAAAAGGGAAGGAGATTGATTGGTCAAAACTATTTTTTTCCTTATTTAAGGCTGTAACTTGGGTGGGATAAAACTTGATAATCCACTTATTAATAGAAGTCAAGAAAAAATCTCTAGAATTATAAGGTAAACATGTGTTTATATGGCAATCAAAAAACCAGCACCAAACCATGCCATAAAATATGTGAGATTACCTATTTAAAAAACATTAATAAAATTAATAAAATTGTTTTTTATTCATATAATTAACTATGAAATATGTTTATACATCCTCCAATAGCCATGTTATAATGCCTATTTATAACCTCATATACCTACTGTTTGCACTACAAAAAGCTTCAAGTCTACAGTTTGCACTACAAAATCATGGTGGTTATGAATTTTCTCAAATATAAAATCAACTTATGGTAGTGCCACTAACCCAAGTCTAAAAGAAAGGATAAAAAAAGAAAAAGAGAGAAATTTGCATGCATGGTCCCCATGGTCAATAAATTTTGATCAATCCAAAAAAATGGTAAGATAAACTAAAATTCAATAGAAAAAATATTTAAATTTCCATAAGAGGAAAAAAGGAAAATCACTACCTTCATGGGACCCACTAACCATCACATTCTTGATTAGCATATATAGTAAATCTGTCCTGGGAATAGAATAGAAAGGGTGAAGAACTGAGCAAGTTTCTTATGTGCCCATATGTTACAAATAATGTTAGAGAAGATTAAGACGTACCAAGGTTCAAAGTATTGGAAATGCAAGGTGTATCGGAAAGATAATTTTAAGAGACATATCGGGATATGCTTTGGATACGTATGGATACGGACGAAAATTCAAGATACACATAAAATATGGTAGAAAATTCAAATAAATCTTAAAAAATATATTACTAACTATATTTATAAATTTTATATGATTGTAAATAAGTCACTTAAATGTAAAAAATCATAATTTAATGGTTTATATAAAGTGTGACATATCGGGACACAATTAGTAACCGTTTAAAAATGATTGAATAACTAAAATGTAAAAAACAAAAAAAAAACTAAAATATGAATGTCAATTTTCAAAAACCAATATAACTAATCTTTATATTTATTAGTATATAAATTTTAATAATTAATTATAGCATTTATTAATAAACACTCGTGACTCATTAAGAAAAATTAAATTTTACTTACAATTAAAAATACATATAATCATAGCAAACAAATATGTGTGGCTCGTTGGCAAACTTGTGGTTGTTAAATTCAAGTGACCAAGGTTCAAATGTTGTTATAGCTAAAATTTGAAGTTTTTACATTAACAAAACGAAGTTAATGAGAGGGGATCATTAATTAAAAGAATTAATGAGAGAATTTGAATTAGACACTAAAATTTAAATTGCCTATGAGTAATTGACTAATTAATGAAAGAGAAATTAGACTTAAATAAATGACGTTAATGAGAGATTACTGTTTCAGGCATGTATCGGCATGGGACAAATAATTTATACACGTTCCACGTCGGGTTCTTGTCGGAATGTTATAACCCTATAAATCAGAATTGGAAACCATTAGAAGACCCCCCTTTATAGTTACCTAATAGAAGTCAAACTCATTATGTTATGCACCGAACTTAAGAATGTTACTTTTTCCTCACAAAGGCTTCAAAAGTTGAAAGGCCTCGATTAG